TGCCTGCTTCCATTGTCTCCCTTTCTGGCCCCACTTCCCTCTGCCACCTGGTTCTGTCTGCCCTACAGTGGGCAGTCATTGCTTTCCCAGCCTAAGAGAGCCCTGGTCCCCTCTGCCCTCTCCTACTAGGGCACTGGGGGGCAGTAAAGTCTACATGGGTAGAAAAGCAGATCTGGCCAGGACACCACACCCTGACACAGAAGGCCCCTTTCTCCATTTCCACCATGTGCTTCACCCACTCAACCCCTGTCATCCACTCAAATTGATCAACGTGGTGGAGGAAAAGGTGAACCAGCCCAACTCCCTCTCAAGGAGAAAACTGATTTGAGGAGGGGGTGGAACCCTGGTAACTTGCTTGTGAGCCCCTAGGGCCTGGAGGAGACTGCACAGCAGAGGCAGGCAGCTGTGTGAGAGCAGGGAGAATGGGGAGGCAGCCAGCAAGGAGGCTGTCCTCTCATCTGAAAGGCTCATAAGAGTGTGGGACACAGCCAGAGAGAGCGCGAGCCTCTCACCCTCCGCACAGATGGAAAAGCCAAGAAAGGTACTGAGTGCTCTCAAGCCTTCCCAGTGCCACCCACTCCATCTCCCCTCCACACGGAAGCAGTCCGCTGGGTGTCTCTGTTGCTCACGGGGCTTTGGGGACCTAGCTCTTTTGTCCAGAAATACTGAGGAGGGTCCAAGACCCCATGGGCTGGTTTACTCAGCCTTGAGATGGTTTCAAACTTCCTGTGCTCCCCTAAGCCTTGGTTCTCCAACATGAACTGGCATCAGAATCCCCCGAGGAACATGTTAAAACTGCAAGCCCAGTCCTAGTGAAGGAGACCCATCTACACCTTTCCTAGAATTCCTGCAGGAGGAGCCACCGGGAGCATCCAGTCAATGAAGCAGCCTAGCCCCAAACTGACTGGTCCACAGTTTGCAGCAGAGGGAGCATAAGCAGCCCCCAGAGCAAGGCCTGACCTGGCTGAGGGAGGAGCAGAGCTCTCCCCTGATGCGTCTGGAAAGCTTACAGAGAGGGTGGGACGCAAGAAAGTCACTGCTGGGTTATTCTTTGAAAGCTGCTAAGATCACAGGTCCAACCCAAGTCCCATGAGGACCTCATGCCCCAAACCCCCGGTGCTCATTTGAAACCCATGCAGAGTAACCCCCGGCTCCATGGCCGAGCTGAACTGGGGTTGGAGGGACCTCTGACGTAGGGGTACCTTGGCTAGGCCCTGCCTTCTGCATACCTCCCTGTCCTGCCACCCTTGCTTAGAGGCCCAGCCTAGTGGCCAAAGTCTCCTTAACCCCAGGGAAGCAGTAACAGCACTCACAGAGACAGAACTTCCTGAAGGCTCTGCTGCCATGTGTACGGCAAGACAGGGAGAAGTTGAGGCCAATTCATAGTTCATCTCCATGAGACCTTGGGCAAGTCATTTAACCCCCCTGCCTTTCATTCCATAACATCTGAACATGGGAATAGAGGGCACTTCTACCTTCCTGAAGACAGAGGGCTGATAAATGATCTCAAAGTGCTGCCAGCACTCAGATCCACAAGGCTCATTGGATTCAATGAAGAAAGAAAACCAAGGATTTAGGGCCAGTTTGTTACCCAGGGACAGGGATGGCTCATGGTTCCCCTTCATTGACAAGCTGGCAGAGTTCTTCCTGCCAGTCTCCAGGTCCTGAGACTCTTGCCATATCTTCAGCAGTCACAGACACCTGACGGTGCCCACACCAACATGAGTTACAGCCGTTTCAGGAAATGGCTCAAATCAGTTTCAGTCTCTACTCCCCATTCCCAAATAAGAGGGCATTGCTGGTCAAAAGCAAAGCATTTCCATTATGTTTGCTTCAGATAAAAGGCAGGGACCAGTAGCTAAAAGGTGCAAGGTCAGGGCTGTTGGGTTCTTGTCCCCTCTCCTGGTACAGACACATCTTCTGTGATTTTCCTTACCTAAGCCAGTGCTCATCCTCAGAGGTCGTTCTGGAGTAATAGATACAATCATATCCATTCCACCTGCCACAGATCTTTCTGCTGTGTCCCACTTTTCTTCTGACATTAAAAAAAATATTTTTATTGATTTTATTGAGAGATATAAACATTAATGATGAGCGAATCATTAATTGGCTACCTCCTGCACATTTCACACTGGGGTTTGAGCCTCCAACCGGGGCATGTGCCCAGACCAGGAATTGAACTGTGACCTGGTTCATAGGTCGATGTTCAACCATTGAGTCACACTGGCTGGGCATCTTCTGAAATTTTTTTAAAAAAATGCTTTTATTGACTATTTTTTTTTTTTTTAGAGGGAGATAGAATCATTAATGAGAGAGAAACATCAACCGAATGCCTCCTGCACACCCCCGATAGGGATCAAGCTCGCAATATGGGAATGTGCCCAGACCGGGAATTGAACCAGCAACCTCTTGGTGCATGGGTTCATGCTCAACCACTGAACCACACAAGCTGGGCTCTTCTGACATTTTTTAAGCCTTTTAAAGTCAACTGGTTACTGAAATTAGGAGCCAAGAGTTCAGGCTTTGCAGCTACAGGCCCTCCCTCCACTGAGTATAAGGCGCTTGTTGAATCCAAGCAGGATCCTTCACCTCCACCTGGTTCCTGTTCCTGGGGGGCCTCCCTCTTGCTGCCAGGGACGGGGGCAGCCACAGGACCCAGAAGTTCCTGTTCCTCATCAGGTTCTCCATGTTCTCCAGCCGCCTCTGCAATAGCTTTCCTAGCACAGCCCATTTGCCATGCAGTTAGTTCCTGAACTTAAAGGTCATTTATTTAAATTGAATTTATTGTGGTGACATTGGTTAATAAAATCATATAGGCTTCAGGTGTACAATTCTATACAAGGTTGTTTTCTTAAAGTCGGCCAGCTTCTCTTTTCTTCAGCTGTCCTTGTCCATCCATCCTTCCAAGCTCTTTAGTCAGAGTGCCTGGGACTTCATCTTCTTTCCATGGGCTTAATGGCAGCCAAGATGGCCAGAAGGGAGGTCTCTGCAGATTGGAATTGAGCCTCCCCATATGCCATTCCTGTATTAGACATAAGGAGGTCAGTCAGCCACCAGGAGAGGGGTCCAGAGCCATTTCCAGCTACAGGTAGGTCAGGATGCTCTGGAATAGGGGGAAACTTCTTCCAGGCACCCAAAGGCCTCATTGGTCAGACCCCCAAACAGAGCCCACCTGGAAGACTGTCAAAGACAGCAGACACTGGACTCCACAGGGCCCCCATGGGAAGCATCTTGAACCAAGACCCAGGGGCAATATAAGATGAACTAACAAAGCATTACCATAATAAATGAAGAGTGTAAAGGATTTGAATCCCAGCTATACCACACACAGTGATATGAGCTTAGTCAATTATTTAACCAACACTTCACCCAGGGACACAGCCCAGCAGGAGAAAGGAAGTGAGTGAGAAACCTAAGTCCTGAAAACTTCCCAGGGCACTGATGCATACCAAGTGCTAGTTCAGTCTGTGAGTGTTCTAGAGCACCCTCCTCCCCTCCCCCGCAAACAGACACACACACACACACACACACACACACACACAGTGTGCTGTGGGAAACCTGGCAGGTGTGAGCAGCAGCAGAGTCCCTGTGCTAGTGCGGAGCAGCTCACCCAGAAACCGCCCTGTACCGCCGCTGTCTGTACCAGAGAGCAGGAACCAGGTCATGTGCACGCACTCAATTAGTCCAATATATTTATTGACTCTAGACTGAGGCAAGGAACTGCCACCATCAGTTCTTCAGGGCCTTTAACACCAGCACCCCACCTTTCTTTGTTTTACAAATGAGGAAGCCAAGACCCAGAGCTGGGAGTGAGCATAAGGCCATACCAGGCTCCAGCCTCTGGAGTCCCCGAGGTCCAATCTGCTCCTGCAACACATAGGCTCCCTTGACTCATTTTGGAGGCACAACTTTCTTTGAACACCTACTGGGTGTCAGAACTCACAAGGCCTTGCCTGGGGTGCAGCACATTTACTGCTTTGGAAGAAGGGGGCGTAGGTGCCTTGTAATTTCTCACGTTTGGCTTCTAAGGATACCAGTATTGACACAGGGCCTCTCTTAGCCCTGAGGCATCCCCAGGGAAACACCTGAGACAAGCTCTTGCAGCTGAGGGTTAAGATCAGAGCAGCTACACTTGCACCATATCCTGTTTGAACACTTGCTGACAGCCTTGCCCAGACTTGTGGGGCCCCTGGAGAGGGCTGAGGGCTACCAGTATAGACAAACAGTGGCACCTCTTCTTCCCAAGCCCAGGGGAGCTTGGCTGAGCTGTCACTGACTTGTATACTCACTCGTGCCCCAGAGATGATGGCAATGTTACCATCTGCCCCAAACTCTGTTCATGTACAGTCTGAGGGGGCACAGCCAGGGACCCAGGCACCTGGATGCAGTCCTCTTCATATAGTGCCAGACAAATAAGACAATCAAAACAGCTGAAGACCCATCACCCAAGCTTCAAAATCACCCAACCGGAGGGGCTGGTCTATAGGCAGCACCCAGAGTGGTATGATTTAAGAGGCACAAGGAGCTCATTGCTGTCAAGACTTCTCCATGAGGCCTGATGCTATTGCCTGAACGTTCAGTTTGACTCTCTGCTTTGGTAAGAATTTGTTTCACTGAAATACCAAGCGCTCCTGGGGATAAAACCCAATGAGAAACTCACCCCACTCTGCACCCACCTGACCTTCCACTCACTTCACAAAATAAAGGCTCTTCCTGATGGATCCTGAGAGAATGGGCTGGAGATCAACACAGAAGAGAGAAATGGCCCCAGACTTGAAAGGAAGGAAGAAATCAGGCTTCCTATTTGGTTGCCTCTTAATCTATTATGACCCTGACAACCCTAAGGTGAGGTAGGATGCACTGGGGTAAATGAGGAACACCAGGCTGGAGGTGGTGAACAAATTAATCCATGTCTCCTGGTCGAACGCTGCAGAAGGCCCTAGTTCTTGGAGACAGCCCCCTGCTTTAACATGACAAACCACCCAGTTGGCTGACCAGCCTCACCCAAACCTGGACCTTTTGCTCAGAAGGAGCTTCTTGGGCTTGCTTCCTGAGGCACCCCCGTCCCCCTTGTGGCGACCTATGGGCAGGGAGCATGCACACCCTTGAACACTGAGACCATGGGGACGTCATCTACTCTGGGCTTCAGTTTCCACTTCTCTACTGATAACCAAAGTCAATCAACCCCCTCTACAGGAAGGCCCAGGAACAACGGGAATCACTCTGGGCCAAGGCACACACACTTGGGAAGACACCTGGTTTCCAGGGCAGCAGCCAAGGCATCCCATCAACACCCAGGCTGGTCTGGACCCGGCTCTATGGTCCCCACACAGAGGCAGGTGGCAGAATTGTCCTGCCACCCAGAGGCTCGTGGTCCCCTTGGCAACCACACACAACTCTTACAAAAGCACCAGAAAAGCTTCCTAAGGAGGCAAAAAAAAGTTTCAAAGTAACGAAGTAGAAAAGCCTAACTTGCAGGGCCTACTCTTCAGGCTGCCTGTCCGCTCTGCTGTTTCTCACGTGCAGCAGGCCCCAGTCCTCTATGTACAATCAACACCCCAGGCCCTCAATGTTTCCATCACCTCAACTGAAAGCACCGTGATCCCTGGTCCACTTGCCCGTCCATGGAATCCGCGAAGGCCCCCACCCAAAACGAGGCGCCCCTAAGCCTGAGGAGGTCCTTTATAAGTCAGGAATGTAGAAAAGGCAGCGAAGAGTAACAAACTGAGGAAACAGGAAATGGAAGCAACTGTGGCACTCATACACTGTCACCAAGAAGGGTGCTGCTTCCATTTGAATGAAAAGAAAAAGCTCTCTCCAAACCCATCCCAGGACTAGGAACCAGCGCCAGGCCCGAGGGGCAGGGCCCAACAGGCGGAGAGAAGGTCCTGCCGGTGCCCGGGCTCCTGCCG